CTGAAGATTGCTGAAGATTAGACGGTGAGTGGCGTGTTGGGTGGGAAGGATAGCCCATGTGCACTGGCGCCTCTTATCACTTTTCTTTTTCACATGTGCAGTGTTTCAACAGTTCCCGATCCATGAGCCAAACACCTTTGGCTTCGCATGCTCTGGGCCGTGGCCTGGAATTCACGTCCACACAGCCTAGAACATAAAGCAACCGTTCCGGGATTCTGTCGGAAGCTTCTAGTGTCTCTCAGTTCGGAGACCTGGAGCCCGGGATTGTTGAAGAGCTTAGTGCTGGAATCGTTTATACCACTTTGCCAGTATTGAAACAGAGGACGCGCGCACTGCTCAGCTCTGTCCGAGTTGCTGGATGAGCCGGCAAGAGCCCTGATCCTCTGCTCCAAGCTCGACATTGGACATGCCAAAGGCTTCCTGGGGTTCCAGACGGGCACAGCACGCGATCAGCTCAAAAACTCGTGCTTCTCGGTGTGATCTTCCAACAGGGAAACAACTCGAGCAACTAGAGGCTGGTTCCGGAAGGATGGCGCAGGTTAGAGGCAGGCCGCGGCGATGCATGCGAGAACGCCCAGCAAAGCCTCGACAAGGTCGTATCTAGGTCCATGGAGGTAGGGGGTCTCTGCCTGAACCTAGTTCTGGACAGACCGTGACCTCAAGTCTTGATCCAGCAGGATGCTAGAGGGCTTGGGGATTCAGATTCTCTAGGTGTGGACCATGATTTGATCAAACTTTACATGGTTCTGAGTCTCTCCACTTGTGCAGAGGTCACTCCGGCCCTTGCCAAACCCCTGGCCGCCTGTGCCACCGTGAACGGCCTCGACCGGTTCCTCTGTGATGCTAGCTCCTGGAGCGATAGGGATGCGTGGAAGAAGCCTCCACAGCCTCCACATGCTTCTGCTTCTCTCCCCTGCTCCGTTGCCTCTCTCTCTCTCTCTGGCTGAGTCTGTCTGGGAGCTCCATCTGCAAGCCCAAGCAAAGCCAACCCGGTCCATGAAGCGCCAATCATCACCGTCGATCCCGGGGGCGCTCTTCGCCCGGCTGATCCTCACAATCTTTGGCTACACAGTGATGCCAAATCATGCGGGATGTCGATCGTGCAAGAGACGATACGATGTCAAGAGGATGAGGAAGGGCAAGGTTCAGCTGACGCTAGAACAAATGCTTCGTGCGACAGAGAAGCCAATGGACATGCAGCGCACTTTTGGTGTTCTTCGGGCAGACCTGAGGCGGATGTCAAAGGAGCAATGCCAAAACAGACTATCTTGCGCCCGGTCGTCGTAGCTGCTTTTTTTTGTGATCAGTCTGGCTATGCTTCTGTGTGAGTGACTTGTCTGTGTGGCCCCCGGCGGAATACTGCAACCACGTGACACTGCCGCGGACTTCCGCCAGCTTTGAGCTGAACGGACCACCCTCCACCCACACCTTCGCATTGATGCGTCATCTGCAAAAAAACGCTGCTGCGAAGTTTCCTCTCTGGGACAATACAGAGTTCAAAATCGCACCACGATGACACATCAAAAAGGTCTTTGATGCAAGCCGCTTTCACAAGTATTCTGAAGTCTCCAAAGCGATTGCTGGCATGTAGCGTGGATGGCACACCGAGGAATAGTGTCCTGACCGTATGCTGAAGCCACCCTGCCACAGGAATTCTTGTGGGGGCTCCACTCCACGCTGACCTGCATTTGACTTCCTCTTGTAGCAGCCGTCGCGTCGCGGTTTCACTCAGGATTACATGCTGCATGTCATTGCGAGAAGTTGATAGCAGGTTGCGAGGATGGTAAGCTCCAAGAAGGGCACGGTCGCCGGCATTCGTGTTACAATAGTTCATACCTGGAGTTCCAAGCATCGGACAGGCCTGGATTTCATCTGTCCAGCAGACAGCGTCACTTTAAGGTCGAGATCCAGTGTGGCACCTGAGAGACAGTGTGCAGCATGCAGTATGCGACGGCTGTGCTCAGGAACAATACCATGAACATGCCCATAAGTTTCCAGCAATCAAGCTGGAACGGATACCTTGCGGTCAGTATGGGTGCATTAGTTCTTGTGCCAGCTAAGCTCTGGACATAGAGACAAACCAAAATTGTGAAAGAAGCCTGGAGCCAGAACATCGTCGTGATGATCGCCTGTTTTTTGTTTAAAACATTTTGCTTGAAGACTGACCGATGGAGAAAACATGAACCCAACATGAATTCGGGTTGAGGCAGACATTTTCGTAACATCAGTTTAAGTGCTCCGCTCCCGCAGGCGCTTTATGCGAGAGGAGGTTAAACCCAAACAAAAACGATAGCTAAGTGTGTGCAAGATGTTACCAACGCGTCATCATGTGGGGCGGATCGAGCAATCCCACACTGGGATCTTGTCTCGCGTTTGGGGCCTGAAGCATCAGAATTGCCAGGGGAATCGTCCTGTTCTGCTAAGCTGCTTCTCACAGGAGCCGACCACTCCAGCATGCGTGTGTTGTGGGACATCGCATCCTGGCCGTGGACGGTGCTAGCTGCTGGCAGAATGGGCGCTCTGCGCTTAATTCTGCAATGCCCTCCTAGAACTTCGCACGCAAGTTGAGAGCTTCAGGCTCTGGCACATGAATGAACGCCCACTGAGAGATGCAACCTGAAGCGAACGAACCACTCGTATGCGACACTGGCATTTTTGCGCAGCTCATGAACCCCACCCNNCCCCCCCCCCCCCCCGCCCCCTCCCTTCCCCAACAAGAAGCGCGCCAAGGCCACACAAGCGGATTTGGGGCGAAGAAGCGAGACCAGCCGGCTGGACCTGCCAAGGCATTCTTCTACAGTGTTAGGACAAACGCGAGCGACGGCCACAAGCAAGCGTCAGCAAGAGGCTCCTCTTGGCTGAATCCGAGGGTTTCGAGCTTGACTGGGAGCGTTGCGAACCGTGAGATTCCATTCAAAATCTTCGGAAACCTGCCTGCCTGCAGTGGACCTATCTGCACAGGACGGTCACCTTCTCAGAAAACTTCAGCAGACTACCTGCGGCCTCGCCTGCGTTGGAGCTTCCCTCGCAGCGACTGCGTCGTCTGAGTTCCACCATTGTCGACCCTCGGCTGGTCGAAACTGTCGTTGACGGAGGTGCCCTCAAGAAAACATCCTCTATAACCACCCATAACCTCTATACGAATAGGTTCCTGTGTGCTGCTTGAGTGACTCCCAGGCGGGTTGCTTTGACCTGCATCAATGCATCAATGTTAGCGTGTGCTGCTACAATGCCGGAGGTTCAGGACATCCTGCCACCTGAAGTTCATGGAGCGGACAGACACGGACTTACCACCCTGCTGACTCGCGTTGACATTCAAGGGCACACCCACCCCTGCTTGGAAACTGACACTGGAAGTTCCTGGCCGTTGCACCCCGTGATGCCTCGCTGTGGCGCTGACATTGCTGCCGAGGACTCCGGCACTATTATGCACTTTGGCAGACCTTGGTGTCGCAGTCAAACTTCGGCTGGCGATGAGCAGTGCGGTTTCAGCAACACATCTGCTGCAAACCGCAATGCCCCACCTAAGAAACCGTTCGTATTTCTACGCATGCGCCTCAATATTTGAACCGAAGCATATTCTCAAAAATATCGACCTCCTTTCCACCTCCCGCCTCCCACCTCCTCCCACCGAGGGTAGCGGGAGAGGGCAACGGCAGGATGAAGAAAAGGAATAACGTGACAAGGTTGAATGGCTCAAGGTGAGATTTGAGGGAGGTTAAAGGTAGGAGGAAAGCCCAACCCACCTCCCACCTTCGTGGAATGTAGGAGGGGGGGGAGGTGAGATACCGCACAATCTCGCAGAGGTATGGGCGGTTTTGGTATCGACCTTGCCGCGATGACAGTCCTGATGAAGCTTTACAAACGACTTCAATGAGTCCATGAGCAATTCGTCCAACTCCCGCCTGCAATCTGTATTCCAGAGCTCTCCGTCTAGCAGAATCTAGCATGTCCCTGCGAGCCCTGAAGTAGCTCTTCAACGATCTACCAGGCTGCAAACTGAGTATTATGCTATCTTGCACATGAGATGCTGGGGTACTTCCACTTGTGCTTTGTTTCTTGAAGCTGGAGAACCAGATTTGTCGCACTCACTGTCAGACTCCCTCCTGCCAATGTGTTCTCCTGAATCGCAAGCCGGTTGCCCAAAGCTCATCATTGGAATACGGGATCACTGTCTTTCAGGTGCGGCCGCATCTGTGTTTCCATGCGTTTCGTACGTCCAGGATGTGATTCTTGTTGCAAGACATGAGACAGCTGGCTTTTTGCTATCAATGACAGGAAGTTAGACTAGTAACTAGACCAGTGGCCGAAAAGACTTGACTTAGGTAGAGCAGATGCCTAACTGTAAGGATCTTGGATTTCAATGTCCCAAACCTGCAATGCACTCGTCAAGTCTGGGGTCCTAAACATTGCTCTTGAGCCGTCGCCACTCTTTGCCGTCAAAAAAGTTTCAACACAGGCGACTCAAAGGGACTTCCTTGATGATAAGCGCCCCAATGTTTTCGAGAGATCCCTCGAACCTGCGGCTGTACACGTAGGGCGACGTAGGGCCTAAGCGAAGCCCGAGCAGCCTACAATGCTCTTTCCGCAAATAGCACCGAAGTAAAGGCTTCTGCTTGGGCCATGCAGAGGCCCAGGTCTCAACGGGGTCCGACCTCCTCAGTGCTTCAGCCTCATGGAGCGGACTTAGCACCCGCCGGGTCCGCAACGAGTGCGCAACTTCAAAAGTCGGTGGCAGTCGCAGCATGTCCTGAAATTGAACTGCCTGGCCTGCACTGCCCCTGTATGTATTTAAGTCAACAGTTTCGGCTCACGACTGCCCCGAGGGATGGTCCCTGAATATCATGGGTCGACAACACTCGCGGGAAAATGCTGCAGACCTGTCCCCCTGTGCTTTCAGCTGTACGAGCGAGTCCAGCTAAAGGAGGAGTGCTTCTGTCTCGGTTCCAGAGCGTGTTCCAAACATGACATTACGGTCAGGTCTACAGGAAAGCATTGCTTCAGAGCTCGGCCACCGTCACGCCATTCTGTCGGAGCTCCTCTGGCCAAACTACGGCGGCTTCCAAGCCTTACAACGACAGTGTCATACTCTTTCTCCTCCTCCCTCCTCCTCCCTCCTCCTCCTCCTCCTCCGTCATCCGACCACCATTACAAAATAATCTACCACGAAAAGCACCACAAAGCGGCACGATCAACAACGATAGCAATTCCAGGCTCTGTTGCTATCTAGCGAAACATAGCGCTAAGTGGCACCGCGAATATGAGTGACGATCCAAGTCCACAGTGATGATTAGCCTCGGCCAAGACCTGAATTCCGGGCTTCCTCCAGCACACGCTGGCTGTAGCTTTCGTCTGGAAAGCCAAACCGTTCTGGACCCCCAGCGAGGGCCTTAGCTGTGGATTTTCAAGCTTTCCCACAAGTCTGGCCTGCCAGGTTATATACCTCCATTGGAGTTTCTTGATGTTTCCAAACGGATTGTGTTTTATTTGAAACAATCGGCTCGGCTCGGTTTCCTGACAACTGGGTCACATAGTGTTTTAACGGGCGAACATGTTGTCCTGCATAGTTTCCAGTTTTGGACATGAGCTGGAAGCACTGCTCTTCAGTTACCAGCAATTGTTTCCCAAACAGTGTTGCGTTTTCCCCATGTCATTCACCCCATTGCCTTTAGCAGCGATAGAGGCCGGTATGCGTGAGAGCCTTAAAGCCTATTCGTTTCCATGTCGCAATGAGAGCGCTGAAAAACACTGCTTAGCCAGCATTGAAGCCGAGTTGGAGACGCTTCGCGTAATCCAACAGGTGATAGCTTCGTGGTAGGAATAGCATTTCAGCTAGCCACCTATCAGTAGGGTAAAAACATGGTACTAGTATAACCTGTCGCATGGCGGTCTACAGCCAGCTCACACTTCCTATTTGTGGTGGACAATCATGCTGTGAGTACTGTCAGTACATGCATATGGACCCCTTGTTCAATCGCATTATTAACATTAATTTCTCCACTGCACGCAGAAAGGCCAGGATTATGGGGACAAGGTATCGAATTCATCATCATTGACTTCTTGTACACTGCAACCGAAGCTATTGCGCAGCACATCCTAAGTTCTGATTTTGATACTGCTTTTCAGTGGCTCTGGCCATGACCTCAAATCGAAACTGAGGAAGCCACTGTCTTCAAGTGAATGTTGAAGGCCGGCCAATACTTCTCGTCCGTAGCAGACACTCGCAGGTCAAACATCACACGCCGCCTGCGCACAGAAACACCGTCTCAAGCAGGAAAGCGGGCTGAAACAGGATCAAATAATCCAGGCAGCCCTTGGCAGCTGAGGTTCCCGGGGCCCCCTTACTCCGTCCCCGGAGTTAGTTCGAAAGGAAAAGTGCTACAGGTACCCTGCTGGCCATGCCTGAAGGCGAGTTGAAAGAGGGCCAGCAACAGCCTCAAATAGGCAGATTCTTATTCCTAACTTTGTCTGATACTCTTGAAACATATGCCTGATGCTACCAAGGTCTATCGACTTCTGTCTGGATACAGGTATAGCTGTGTCGGAGAACCTACGGCCAGGCCAACTAACTACTCGCCTCTGCGCAGCCGTGGTAAGCTAGTCAGCCAGTCCCTTTCGAGCGGCTCGCTCCTCTTTCTCCGGTCGTAGATTGTCTAGGAACTTGTCAATGTACCGCTGATGTTTCTCTGCTTCTGTTCTCTCGCACGGTTCGCTTGCCGTCTCAGCTTCTCAATTCCTTTTTCCAGCGGTTCGCTGCTCTTTCTTGGAATCTCTGCTTCCTTTCGAATGTTTCGCTCCTCTTTCTCAGGGTTTCTTGTCCTTGTCGAAAGGTTCTTTCCGTTTCCTCAATCAGATTCTCTACCTAGATAGTCCCTTTCGAACGGTTCGTTGGTCATTCTCATTACCAACTTCTCTAACGATTCGCTCCTTTGCCTCAGAGTCTCATGTCTCATAATGAAGACTGTCATGCCAGAACTTGGCCGTAAAACAACCGAGTGGCTTCCCCTGCTCGTCGTGCGGAAGAAAAGCCTGCCTGAGGTTTGAGGCTTGGAGATTAGGCGGTTCGTCATCGCCCTTACCGACCTGCGGCATACCCTGCCGTACCCCAAGTTGCCCAAGTTGCAACATACTGACGAGGCAACCACTGCGAAGACACTACGGTTGATGATATAAATCCTGCATTACCCATAATAAGGACTATATCATAATTCCCATAGTTTAGGGTCTTTAAGGTCATGCAGGATTTATATCATCAACCGTACAGTAGCACATGCAGTGAGGCAGCGACTTGAGAAGTTCAGCGACCTTCATGCAGGTCTTTGAAATCGCCCCGTCCCGTGCAGTTCATGATTTAGTATAGTAACCCTTGCACGAGCCGTCTCGCCGTTCGGCGAGGTTAGCACCACCAAGCTGGCTCTATGATCGGTGGAGCTCAAGGGTAGCAGGGTAGGTGAACAACCCGGTTCAAAAGCCGTTGGCATGCCTTGTGCGCAGTTGTGTGCAGTGAGGCGTGTTATCTCAGCTTGTTTGCTCGAATGGCCAATTGTTGTGGATCGCTTCTGCCTAAGCCGTGACATTGGCGTGTGGTGCAGGGCTCCATGCTGATTCGTCGAGTCTAGAGTGTCGTTTGTGGAGATGGGTTAACCACAAGCCGATAAAACATGATAACCTTATCACCTGGTCCACCCTAGCTTCGTGCAGACTCCATTGCGTGCGAGTTGCTGACTCCGTCCAGCAAATGGCCTAAGCTTGAGCCACGCACACATTTTGACACCGATGCACCGGCTTCAGAAGGAACGTAGAATCGCCCATCCTCGCAGAACGACCCCAAGCTCTACCTGGATTGATTCCTGACTATAGCAACATGCGCCACAACTTAGATGTGTCAAGACTGTCCACAGCAAAGAAGCTCACCCTTTGCATCTCTTCCACCAGGGAAGCGGAAGTTCATGACGATCGTGAAGCTGTCCTCAGAGAGGGGCAACTGATGCTCTTCCTCTTCTATATGCAGGTGCAGTCGGAACTGCGGCTACGTGCACCTACCTTCCATGTTGCTATCACCTGGACATGGCCGCATAGGAGCTGCAAAGTACACTTACCTGCATTAGCCTTCTCACACCCACGCACAGAATATAGAAATGGATGGATGGATGGATGGATTGATGGATGGATGTATGGATATGTATATGTACACACACACACACACAAACAGTAAGCATTTATGAGGCTGCGCTTCGCTCCTGTTTGCTGTTCGGAACTACTAGCTCCTGTATGGATCTGATTTCTGCAACATACGAAGCCTTTTGGTGTGCAGTTCCACATATCACTCCTTGTTGCCAACCGAATCAATCATCAGCCTGGTTCTGGCTGCCCTCGTGGTGACTGAGTAGCAGTTGCCTTTGTAGTCTCCCTGTTTGTGTATACATACTCGCATACATACATGCATGCATGCATACATGCATACATGTGTATGTGTGTATATATATATATATGCACATGGCATATTCTTGAATTATGGTATACTACAACAATATCTTCAAATCCTATCCTGGCCAAGATCCACTGAGAAAAGCAGTCCCAAACCCAGCTAGGGCTCGGGATGCCCGGCCAGCCGAAGCCGGCTGTCGAGCCGCCAGGACATGGAACCAACCCCAGGCCTCGGAATGTCTTTCAAGGCTTTTGGTCGGGAAGTTGCATCGAATTCAAGGTTCTATTTGGGTACATGATCGCTTTGCGCCTTTCTCTTGCTCTGGTTTACCGACTCTCGTCCATTTGGCCGGAGCTTCCGCAACTCCTTCCAAGCAGGCAAACACATTCTATCATGGGCAGACTGACCATTTGCGCTTGACCCCCAAGACATGGCCCGCTTTCTTGATGTTGCAGTATTGCACATGTCATGCGTTGGGGCTTCATGTTCTATGTGGTTCAAGTAGTGTGGGCTTCTGTCATGGGTGACGTTGTGGTTGTCGCCGAGGGTTGGGATTTGGGTGGTCTTGTGGAGACGCTTTGGGATAAGTTGGTGGATAGATGATATAATCTAGGCCGTAATATCAATACGGAGCTGTTTACACTGTGTTTGCTCGGTAACATGGATTAGCCGCGGGACGGACCGGGGAATGACCCAAAATACAAATTCAGCTGTTGAGTGGTTTTGCCACGTGCATCAGCATCCTCCATGGGGTGGATTTTGCGAGGTTCAAGCTGCCTGCTCCGAGAGGGATGGGAATGAAGCCGAACAGGCCTAAGCTACTCCTTCTGCCTAGTTCCTGCCCCACAGTGAAACCCTAAAGCCTAAACCCTAGTGAACCCATCTGGGCCGAGAGTCTGGTTTCCCACGAGGTGGCCAAAGCGACGCTTGCAGGTCGGGCATCGCCTGCTTTCCCGCGGATCAAACATCAATGTGGCCGTGCGCCACCACTCTTTCTAGCAGGAAGATGGTAATACGAGGAATAGAACGGGTATGTCAGGCTATGCATTTGAGCGGCCTTTGTGTGCAGAAGAAACACTGCAAAAATCACAAAGTGTGCCAGTTCATCAATCTTGCGCAATCTGGCCCGCTGCGTCAAGCCTGCTACCTCATGAACTGTTCGCACCAACACCAGTTTCCAAAAGAGCATCGTCTTATCCTTGCCAACAAAGAAGCATGACAGAGGTTCCTAGCGCCAAGTCCGCCCTAATCGTAGTTGGCTCACAGCTTCCAGACTGGACCTGCCCTGGGCCTACGTCGGTCCTTCCCTGCGCCGGAAGCTTCGGCTTTGGACTGTGCCCCTGAACTGCACCGACTCCCGAGCTGTGGCCTGCTTTCTTCAAACCAGCGGTTTAGGCAGGCTTCGTGGAAGGCATGGCCGCAGAACAGCCTGCAGCTCAGGCTGAACACAGCTGCGGAACCTTGCTGACGTGGAGAAGGTGGTCAACGAAAGTGCATGCGCGAAGGCTGCGAAGGGTCTTTTGACAAGCTTTCGACAGAGCCTGAATGTCAACGCTGGGGTGGGCTTTGTGGGGACAGTCCGGGACATCAACTGCAGCTGGGAATCTCAATGACCTGCTGGGAAGCACTCGGCCGCTTTGAGTAAGAGAAGTCGCCTGCTGCAGACAGACAGCCAATTGACACACATGTCTAGCCTGCTGGCGATGCTATAGATAGACGAAGCATAATGTCGAATATGCATACAGTGACACACGCATAGACAGGTAGATAGATACAGTAGGTCGATAGATAGATAGATAGATAGATAGGTAGGCAGGTAGGTCGGTACAGTAGGATTCAAGCCGCAAGAGCTTTCACAGCAAGAAGGGTTCTGAGCCATCGAGCCTAAGCAAATGCGGCAGCCGGACGACTGCCTGGGAAAACATCACTTTGGTCTTCAAAAGGGCTTGGTTCATGGAAGAGTTCGGGCTACCCTGGACCCTGTTGAGGGTATGGTTTGATTTAGGGCTCCTTCAAGTACCTTTGCATTGACCCTTTGTGCTTTCGATTTTTCCGGCTTTATTTCAGCATGGGTGCAGTCAGCGAAGTTCACTACTGTCAGGGACCCCGATTCAGGCTACCTTCAAGGCACCAGTAACACACATATGCGAAAAGGGAATCGAAAGATTCGGAAAAACCGGACCGAAAGATTCGAAAATGCACGTACCCCCAATCGCTGGCAGGAGTTTCTGCCCTTCACCCGACATATCCCTCCAGACATGCCCACCGCGCCCTGCATTTAAGTGCCCTGCTGCGGCAGTTCGGCAGGGTCGACGCGACGGCCGCAACTTTGAGCCTCTCGGTGATTCGAAAAGCAGTGGGCGACAGTTTTCCTAACTCGTCTAGAAGACGCTGCAAACCTTCTATTCTGAAATTGCTCTGCTCAGATGCTCAGAAGGTGGTAAATTATTGACGATTGTTTTCAAGCGGCAGGCTGCAGCAGCGAGGACAGGCCAAGCCTCCGGTGCAGTAGAGTGATCCAGGTCGGCGGGCAAACGGAGCTCACCTGGAACGATGGAGCCGTCCCACATCAAACTCCGGGCACTTCTGAAGGAAAGACCACTTGGAGGGCAGCTGTACATGCATTCACAGCGAGACAGGGCAGAGAATGAGACACAAAAACATGTCTCCAAATGCATCTGCAGATCGAACCTATACCTATATCACTCTCTCCCACCTATATAGCAATCTATCAATCCATCAGTCATTCAACCAACCAACCTCGTTTGTTACCTGTCCATGGTTGCTTTCGCATGGGGTCCGAACAAGAGCAACATCGCCTGGGGCTCCCTTTCAATGCAAACATGCTGATTCGGTACATTTTGAAAGTGTTGGTAGTTAGAGGTTGCTTTATCTTGCTGGTGGATCTGGTAGATGCTGTTCGTCGCACTGCTGCCAGATTGGAGGGAGGGGTCATGCACTCATAACGCGCGACAAGTACGACTGACACTGCAAGCTGATGGACTGCAGGGCATAGCTGCTCACCGTGCCCAGGTCGTCCCGCAAGCTCAAATCCAACAAACCCGATCAGCAACCACAAGAAGATGATTGAAACTCCCCGCCCGCTCTTCGCACATACGTCCTACATGCAAACCGAATCCTATGTATGTACAAGCGCTCGTGGCAGGTGCGAATCCCGGTAACTTTCCCTGGCTGCCCGGTGCCTTCGCGGACCGCTGGCAGGTGCAAACGCACCTGGGCGGTGCCCTGGGGGCTTCGCTCCTCACCTGCATCATCGCCAGGCGGCGCTCGAAAAAAGAGGGCATCTGCAACATAGAAGTGCCCTAGCAGCCGCGACAGCTACCATCAACAGGAAAAGCCTGAATCTTTGTCAAGGCACCAAGAGCAGCGAGGGACACGATGGAAGCCAAGTTCACCTCCACGGGCCCCTCGCCTGTGGTCACCATCGTCTTCGCTGCGTCAAGTTCAAACAAAGCCAAGCAGCGGCCCAAGAGACTCTGCTTCTTGCTGAGCTATTTTCGTGTGACATTGAGGAAGCAGTCAATTGGATGCGAGGTGATGACCCCACAAGAAGCATTAAGGAGAACGTGCAAAAAACAAATGAGCTCTGTCAAGTGACCGTCGTCCCAGCGCACGACAAGGCTCGCGGCTGATGACTCGACACCACCTCCAAGCGACCTGCAGCACTGAATCATTGAGTCATTGCCTCTGGGATGACCTCCTTTCGCCACATTCCGACTGCGCAGCCAGAATATTGACATCTCGATGCCACTGGGCCATGCCCTAAACCCCAATTAAGCCCCTAACTCCCAACTTCGACTCTTTGTCCCAGGGATTCCCAGGGCCAGGGTCTTCGATGCTACCTGCACTTGCTGGCCTCGGGCAAGCGCCAAGCTCCTGGAGCGCTGTCAGTGCCGAGCGGCGCTCCGCATCCACCAAGACCTCCAGACCTCAGAAGTCTCTCAGACCGATTCATCCCTCAAACTACTTGCAACGGTCTGTCTGCCTGTCGGTCTGTCTATGTCTGTCGGTCTGTCTGTGTATGCCTGCGTATGCATGCATGTACCGATCGTTGTCGTCTTGAAGTTAGCATACATGTGACCGCAGGTGCGTTAGTGTGCACACTGCCTATCTGTCGACATCGTCTTGTCATGACATGCCTTACCTGTATCTGATCTGACTGACCAATCGTCCAAAGGAGGCTTTCGACACAGAACCTTCAATTACTTTTGCGCATTCTCGAGTCGGCACTGTCGGTCATGCGTGTACCACCTCATCCAATATTAAGGACTTGCTAGACTAATCTGAAGATCCTGAGGCACGCAACAACAACAACAAGCATATCTAACACGTGGAACTGCCGGGCCAAAACGCTGAATCTAAAATGCCAGTATGTGTCCAACGGGTGCACACAATATGCCTTGCAGTGCATTCGAAGTAGAGACTTTGGCAGCATGGCAGAGCCCCTACTCATACTCTCCCGAACACGTTCCTGGGCCACTGGGTGTTCCCACAGTCATCCTCGCGTAGCAGTGCAGCTCGCAACTCCTCCTGGCGAGCCTCTCAGGGCACAGACTACCCGAACTTTGAACAGAATGCTATGAGCCAGCGCCAGCCGTTGGAAATGCTGTATTCAGCCTGTTCAAGACGGCAGAGGTCGCTCCAATGACCCTGCCTGCGGATACGGAGTCCATTGCCCGTCGCCTTTGCCGGAACCCACGGACAACGAATGGAGCATCTACAAGCAAAACTTGAACCTAATTTGGTGCCGAAGGCCCACATGCTTCCTTGGGATCAGCACTCCTTATCTCGATGTGTGTGTGTGCGTCACAGTAACTGCCTTGACGCGAGTGACGATGCAGACTATGCCATGCGCATATCAGCCCTTCATGCAACTTCATTTAGGAAATCCCATGTTGCAAACGTCCCGTGTAACTAGCAGCAACTGGCATCGGGTTCGACTCGTGCTGTCAGTGTTGCGAAGCACTTCGAAGGTTGCGGAACTCCAGAACGCCGAACTGCCGCCTCGGATGCCAGCGGCAGGTGCTGGAACAGCCGTTAGGGTAGTACACACATACCGCCGCGTTTATGTTGACTCATGCGGGTAAGAAACATGAATGAATGCACGCAAGACAAGGTGTCATGTTGAAATTTACGTGCACCCCTAAAACTTCGCGGGTGTATACGTATGTATACATGCTTTTTGGGCAGGCACTCGCTCTCGACGAAAAAGGAGGTCGCTCTTCCGAGCAGAGTGCATGAGGCACATTTCCTAGCCAGCCGCCGAGCACATCTAGCAACAAGAAGAACTATAAGACCTCCCAACACAACACACTTCAACACACCTTTCAGAATCCAAACAGCCAGGCACTCACTCACCGCCAACCACATCTGACGAAGTCACAGATACCTTTTCACTTGCATGCGTGCACATGATTACACCATACCAATGACACGCGGGCCCATATAGATGCATAAGAGGAGGTCCTTCCGAACACTTGTGGTCTTCGTGGTTGTGGCCTGAATTAAGCAATGACTCACTGAGCTCACTGCTGCATGTGCTAAATTTTGAACTTCGACTTCACACGTGAAACCAGTACCTCAAATCAAAGCCCCAAGCCAGGCAGGAAAGCAGGTGCCACTACACTGCATATACATATCCAAAACTGGGAAAATAATAACGCAAAGCTTAATCCCTTTTCCCTTCACAGCTCTTCACGTTTTCTAAACGTCCGGCAGTCAGGCTTCTGCTCTTCTCTGGATTGGCCCTCGGTCTCGGTACCGATGCAGCTGCAGGGGCTGCCTGCGCCGCCTGGAAGGATAAACTTGTAGCATAAGGCTTACCTGGACCCCAAAGGTAAGGCTTGCATGGGTCTGAAAGGCATGCAGGCGCTTTTATGTGTTGAGCCAATGCTGATCGAAACGATGCCGCTTGTACTGCCAGCATTGCTCCACTTCTTCCAAGTTTAGGGCTTTTGTTGGGGACTGCTTTCCAATCCCGTCCAGAGATGCACTATAGAGCGAGGTCAGAATGGTCGGCGCATGGCAAAATCCTACCACCCAGGGCCAGCGGCGGCTCTCGTGCGCCGCACAACGATCTACTTTAATTCACTGCAAATGCACACCTGTCTTGTGTGTGTACGTGCGCTCTGCAAGATGAAACCTAATCGGACAGTAGCCACACCTCGTAGCCAGTCGCCTCTGATCCCTCGATGTCATAGAGCACAACGGAGAGATTGCGATTCTCCTTGCGAGCACGCTCTACTGGAGCAAAAGCATGATGCCGCATTCTTCCTACAGCAGGCTCGGAAGACCCAATAATCAATTTTCCGGGTCGAATTCGAACCATGTGATACAATGCAGACAGGGGTGCAGTCCTCAAACTGTTCGTCATGTTCTTCTTGGCCCCATGTCTTTTTTGTTACACCGACACAGACGACTTGGCCACACCTGCATGGTGACAGAGTATGACCCCCCGCTCTCCTCGCAGAAGCGCTTCAGGGCTGCCAGGTACCTCGCAAAGCAGACACGGGCACTATCGATTTGAAGAGTACTCACGACTGACATCATGGCCTTGCATGAGCTTCCGGCCATTCAGTCCGATACCATCTCATTTGTCCGAGCTGCTGTGGCCAGCGTCCACCCGCCAGCCCGCAGCCGATCCGCGTCCTGGGCCACTACTCGCTGGTTGGATTGGTCAGACAGCAGTTGCTGCAGCAAGTGGTGTCTTCCGATGAAGACACGCAGGCCAGAAGTCAGGCCGGCCAGCTGCAAGTCCCCAAAATATCCGTAACATCCTGCAACATATACGTGTCCCGAAACATGCACACTACGCCTCTTGTCGCATTCCAAAGATTGTTCGCCTGCTGCCTGCCGGTCATCGCTATGCAAAGCTTTATCATGTCCCAACCTGGTTGGTCAGGTATCCACAAACTCTCTGCTGGCGTGGCCTACAAGCTGCAGGCCCTTCAACCTAACCCTTGCGTGTGACAGCATGCTTAAGATCGGCAGTCTCCAGCTCCTTCCCGCCCTTCCGCCTTCCACTTCACCCAAAAACCCTGAGGCCGAGCATCGGGAGGGCCAGAGAGCATGACGAGGGCACAGCGCGAGCCAACGAGGCCAAACCTTCGAGCATACTTCAGCGTCTTCTACTTGACTACGACTCAATCCGCTCATCTCCTCCGTCGTCGCCATATGCTCGTCGTCATTGGCAACATCACAGCACGATTCTCATGATCAAAAACACAGGCATGACGGTCATCTTCGCAATCCGCAGAGAGACACCAATGAAAACATACTGAATTGAAGGTGCAGTGCGTAGCAAGATCACAAGATACCTGGCTTGAGAGCTCAGGCCGATGGCGGAAAGAGGTGCATGAAAAAGTGCGCATGGCTAACTAGGTGGCTGAACACTCAATAGCTGACCATCTTGACGGAGCTGCTCTGACTCATAACAAAGTCTCTGCAGCCGTCGCAACATGCCGCAACCACTGCGCATAATTTTTGCGAGGTGCCAGCTTCGAACCACCGAAATCTGGCGCCGCGGGTGTCCTGCTCAGCTCAGACAGAGGCAGCGGTGGATAGTAACAGTCCAAGAGAAAAGATGTCTAAGATAGGAGGATGCCCGCAACGAATTTCCATTTCAGACAGCTTGGAGTGCGCTTTGTAGTGCGGTCTGTCTGAAAGGAGATACGGACTGACTCGAAACAAGACGTGCCCACAACACGAGGACAGCTTGAAATGCGGACGGCAATGAAGAGATTGTGAGCCCGCGAATGCCAGACGATGCGCAGAATTAAGTTTACGGTGCGTGCTGCTGGCGTGTTGGGCTTAAGACTGGCACCCAGGGCCGCAGCCATGGCGGGCCAAGCAATGCCGGTTTGCTCGCTAGTGACGACTCCTAGCCCATGTCCCTCAGCATCTCCCATTTCGGAACACTGCCCAAACCGACTTCCTCTGCCGCCTCGGTAGCACTCACGAAGCGTCCCGTGCCTGACATTGCATGTGGGAAGCAGTAGTGACCAGGTCTGCGACATGAAGGCATGTCTTCGGTCCTACTGTAAACTCCAAACATCCTCGGCGTGTGCTCCGTGAGCTTGGATTGAACAGCCCTGGCCTAGCAAAGTCAATGCAAAGTGCCCTCATATGCTTCATGCCCGGCAAGAACAATTACAGGGCAACGGGATGACTAGAACCACAGTGACGTCTCTCTTGCTCCAGGGACAACACCTGGCCAACCGCCCATCGGTGCATCGTCGGCCGGCCGCCCAGGCAACCTTGCAAGTCACTGCGAGTTTCTGGGTCTCGGCCCTGAATTCGACGGTGACTCTACAGAGGCATCGGCCATGGCACCAAAACGGGCATTGCTCATGTTGCTGGAATTCCAAGATGCTATGCACTCATGCCGGTTATACGCGTACCAAACATGTTGCGGTTTCTGTGCGTTCCCCGGCATCTGTCATGCAGGGGGCAGCTGTCCATACAAGTTGACGATGCGCCCGTGGATGCTGACCTGTCAACACGCGGATCCCAGTGCTTTTCTGCTGCAACTGCAGTACGAGCAGGGAGTGGAACCACAAGGGCTATGAGCATACTCAAATCCTTCTGGATCACCTGTCTGCAAGACTCCGTGCTTGTAAACAAGTACATGTCGATTTCAGGCGGCATTGAAAAGAGCAGGGTCACTCTGCAATCAATGAACAATGCACAATTGGCTCCCTCTCCCGACGGTTTGACTGATGGCCCCGCCGTGCCAGGGACGTCGTGTGGGCGACCGCTACGGCCACGCTGTCCTCAGATTTAAAACTGCAGGAGATTTTGTAGAGACTCGCTTAGAGGTCGTGTAGAGTCCATTCTTACAACATCTGAGTGTCTTCCACAAGCATTTTTCGCTATTGTTCTTCGAAAGAGCTTCCTGTAGGCTGGCCCCATCCTCAACTGCAATCCTCAACCAACGATCCAGCTAGTGGCGTTTATTGAATCTGGGTTGGAAGAAAGCCTTCCGGCGCTTGTTGCCGTCTGCTTCACGGGTGAGGCAGACATCAGGTTGCCCCTTCAGGAACGCAGCAATACCATGATCCGGCCGCTCAAAGTATGCAGAAACCCACATGTCAATCTCTCAACTTAGCCACAGCACTGAATGTTTTTTTTTTTTTTTCCGAGCCGTTCGCTTAGCGACATGATCCGGATACTCGCGGCGCAGTCGCAGGGTTTGGGATACCTTCCGTAGTCATTTCAGTCATGGCCTACACACGACAACGTCGATCATCGGTTCAAGGGCGTAAATATAGATATCTAGGAACATCCTTCCTTGGAATTCCCCTGTCTACTACGTTAGGTGTGCCCCCAAATCCGAGTCCAACAATCCAAGGCCCTTATACTCCAGTAGGAGTCAGGATTAGGGGAATCCTTGGGGATATAATCCCTTTTATATGCGAGCCATAAAGTAAGGTTAATAAGGGCCCCCCCCCTTTAAGGGGTCTCCCTCGTACTACCTAGGACTTAGACTTAGACTTTCGACCAGACCATGGCCAGGTCTCAGAGCTGCTTCCCCTCAACTCCCCTCATGTGCACTGCATACGTTGACCTCATCGTCAGCCTCACCATCACCGCATGATCACGTTCAAGATTCCACTGGCAACGACGGGGCCATAGGATCTAGCATCTAGGTAGGGTTCTCATCTACGCTTTCCTGCCTCTTAGCCTCAGCCGGCAAAAGCCCGAACCCTGACTGGCACCTTTCGCCGTAGATCTGGGTGTACTTTGACCCACGCTGCCGTGGCCACTCATGGAAACGGACCCGCCCGTAGAAATGAAAACCTTCGAAACGATATGAAGATATGAGCTGAGAAGCATGGCCCTACATTTGCTGTGCGAGCACTCTTCCTTCACTTCTATGGCGCTCTGAATTTGCGGGTCTTGGAAGACTTCCAGTCCAGAGCCACTGCTGCGCACTGCCGTAAGGAAGGGCAGAAGCCGGGCCGCTGAATTCATGCAGCTTTCAACTTTCTGGTTCAAGCTTTGTCCAACTAAAACCTACATGGTCTGAAATCCATTTCATTTCTGAACCGGTAACCACAGCTTTAACTGTTATAGGATGCTACAGTAGCTATAGGCCACACTGCTGCTTCGCAAACACACTGCCTGAAGAGCTTCTTGACAGTGAAGGCGCTCGGATGGCTTCTGCTCACCAATGACGGCATGTGAGACGATGCTGAAGCAGCTGGGGTGGTCTCAACGACAACAGCTCCGGTTCGCCAGCAACACATGATCTTCTGTTCTGTTGGACCCTCGGCCGTCAGCAGAAACGGAAACACGAAGAGCTGCTTCTTGCTGCCCTTGCGGAATAACGATACTGTTGGATGCCTGCCTTGACTCTTTGGGTTTCTTCGGATCAGTCATCCTCAAACACTGTGGGGCGAATACGCCGGTAGAAGTTGACCTGCAGTGAGCAGACTTTGCGGGAGCAGGGTTAGGAGCGGCAGCAAAAGGACTCCAATCGCAGTGGGAAAACACGAAGTCCGAAGGCAAAAGCGGCATAAGACGTCGTCTTCCGTAGCAACGATAGACTCGAACTTAAGCTGAATGTGCGGCAACCGAGAGGCCAGGGACGACCCATCGTCCCCGCCGAAGTAACCCAAGTACCACGGAATGAATTCCGTGAAGTCCACGGAACCTCCAGGTCTACAGAGCTTTGGGGCAGTCAAATGTCATGTCGGCTGAGGCTTCAAAATTCTGCCAAGACTTCCAGTTACAAGTAGGGCGCCTTTGCCGGTGTCGTCGAGCTCGCGCCAGAACGACCTTTGCAGTACAAGATGCTCCTTGTCCTGTAGTATATGACATATGACCCGCACAACCTCTTGACAACAAAACCCGTGCTTCGAACAAAGGACATGGCCAGAAACACTGGTCAAGATCTGCACATTGCAAGCAGGTGCTCCATCCAGACAACATATGCAAGCAGGTATGTATGCATGATAGTACGTAATCGCATGTAATGCTCTGCATCAATGTCACGGAATGCAAAGTATATGTATGAAGCATGGGTGTTATGTACGTATGTAAATACGCATGCGTGGCTCTCTTCCTCTCTTTCTCGGTGTCTACGTATTTCTTTGGAACATGCCTTCACACGGCTTCGGCCAGAAAGTGTCACCGTGGATTTACGCAAGACTCCTCTTGTGTGTCATCCCATGCGCAAAGCTGCAAGAAGCATGGAGCACAGTAAGGTCGGTACTTCACCCGGCTCTCTGGCAGAGCCGTCGTGTCGCGCAGGTTGAGCAGCAGTGCGATTAGCTGGCAAAACCTGGTTGCATGGAACTCGTGGAACACAGGTACACCGTGAACGGGTTTTCGCGGCTGTGAAGTCTAACTCGACTGTCCCCGACCTCACTCGAAGATTCGTAGTCGTAGCAGAGGCCAGATGCAGCCCCAGGCGAAGTGCAACCAATCTCTGAACCCAACCGCGCAGGAAGTCGTTCTACAGGGACGTTCCAGGAGCAAACTCCTGACTTCACCGAAAACCCCGAAGCTGCCGGACCACCGTGGTTGATGACTCAAGCTGCAAGCTTCTTGCGGGTGCAGTAGCTCTTGGTATTCGAGGAGGCCCGGGTTGGCCTGGCAGAAGCTATCGAAGCGCCGCTTCACCTCACGGGGAGGATTTTGTTCGCAATGTGAGGGACACGGAACATGGAGATACATGGAGCCTTCGAGGGCGAACTGAGGTTGAGAGATGCTGCAGTGATGTTGCAATTTCTTCTGAATTCTGCGAATTCAACATGCCCCTGTCTGATGCCTGCCATGATTTTTGGGTCAGCCTGGGAAGGAATTGCGTATCTCTCTGTCCGAGGAAACGTATGGAGATGTCAGCAACTTAGCAACGTCATGCAACAACCCTCTTGAAGGCTGCGGCTCCAGTGCTATGTTCAACACGAAAGCTTGTGCCCTGCAGCGACCACCTTCTCCACGTCAGGCACAGAGACGTAGAACCGTCGCGCCACCAGTCGAATGAATCGTTGCTCCTTGTGTCAAGACGAATCGAACACGACGCTGCCAAAGACAAGAAGTCGAAGACTAGCAACAGAGCATGCCCCGCTGTAGCGGTGTAGATCGAAAAGAGGCATTCGCACATAAGTCAGAGGCACTCTGAGACGTTGTGAGACAAAGGATTTCTACTGAAACTATGGCTTAGAGACAATCTTCTATTGCCGCGCATGAAAAGCTTCGGACAAAACGGGGATCCCACCATTCTAGCCACTTTCTGGTCTGAAACAATATTGCAGGGCCTGCATTACCGCGTGTTCGTTGCTGTCACTTCAAGAAAAGATCGTGCACCAACCCACCCGAGAAGACTGTAAGCTTGACCATCGAAGCGTCATCGGTGAGCAGCAAACATTCCTGACAGGGATGTTGCACAAACTCGCAGCCTGTCGAAACGCCTGACCATCCTGAAGCAGACTCCAGCCTATCCATGTGCGCACTATGTCCGAGCGTCTCAAGGCTTCCTGATGCTTGAACGAAACCCGCTGCAACTTGCTCGTGATGGGAGAAACCCCCTTGGCGGTTGCGAGCCTGGAAAGCATTTCGCGTGATCCATGTAAGGAAGTCTTCGAAGGTCACTGAGATCTGTGTCTGCTGAATTTCGATGGCTTCCTCACGCAGTCTCCACCGAGGCCAGCTTGATTTTGCAGGATGAGGACCCTGAGGAGGCTTAGCAAGGGCAGTAGGATCTAATGCAGAAATAACCTGTCTGAAAACTGCATTGTACTGCACTTCCATCCGTATGGTGGGCTTGGCTAGACTTATGTAGGTCTCCTGCACGGCTTAGTTTAGTTGAATTGTTAGGAACATCTCGTCATCTCTCTGGCTTTGCAGCTCCTTGAACAGCTCACGTGGCACATCCTTCGCTCGTGGATAGCGCTCCCGGAGCACTGTGCGCAGTAGCAGCTGGAACTCATACCTTCGAGCACAACGGGGCTGTTTTTCAACTCGACGAGTCCTGGGGCGTACTGAGTTGAACACTTTGACATCCAATCTGAGGGCTTACATGGTGAGGACGTGATAGGGGACCTGCTGCGATGGTAGCATTAGTCACTGTCAAGGACTGTCTAGGGCTGCCGTTGGTTCCACGAGCTTACAACTCGCCTGGCTTGAAGTTGCGGGAACTTCCGCCGAAGGCGGCCAAAGTTCATGGGCTCGTGGACTTCGCCGCAGGAGGGATGGGCACTGACGAGTCTTGCGACACGCATCGGAATGCTGGGAGCCCCTGTAGTCAGGCATGACTGCATGCAGAGTGGCGGAGAAAGAAGATCATCGTCGTTGGTGTCGTAGTGCTTGAACAACTTCCATGCCTGTAACATCTGATGATGCACACCGCAGCTCTGTCCCGCAGTACTTCTGCGAATCAGTATGTACCCAGTCACACTGCTTTGACTCCTGTGCATCCACCGCCCATGCAAAACCGTGTGAAAGTCACGACACACTGCGGATGAACCTGGGTCACATGGCCGCCAGGGAGGTTGTAATCCATTGACATGGAGTGGGCTTTGAACCTTGGTCCGTCCGGAGTACGGGAACTACCAACCCACATCAAGCCTCCGCACCAAAACCGCTGCGATGCTGGACTTGCATCACCACTACTGCTGCTGCTGCT